AATAATAAAATACATTTTTTTTACATTTTTTAATATTTACAATATAATTGAAAACATTCTTCTTTTCATTTAATTAAAACATTACTTTCTTTTGTACATAAACAATAAAGATACATTTTTATCATATAATAAAAATTGAAAAATACTCTTTCTATTCTTTTAATTAAAGTATATATCTTTTTTAAAAATACATTTCTTTTTTTTTAATATACATAATTCAATTCATAACACATGAAAATATACTTTTTATACATAATTAAAATTTAGAAATATTTTCTTTTCTTAAAACATCATTTTTATTCACAATTTAATTAAAACTTGAACATACAATTAAAACATTTTCTTTTGTGCATATTAAAAGAAATACAAGATCAATAATTAAATAAACGCTTAATCATTCTTTAGGTTAAATAAATACCCTAATATACATTAATTTCACATTATCGCACATGTAAACAATCACATATACATATACATCTCACACTTACACAATGCAAATACATTCATATTGCCCTATACACATTTCTTTATCTTATATTTGTATATTCGATATTTACATTTGATCGCAAATTCGATTTGGTTGTAACTTATTGGATACTATAAAGTCTCATCCCCATTCATACACTTGTACCCCCACTCCCGGATACTATTTTGTAATAGCGTAGATTTTACATTTTCGCAATTTACCATTTTCAAATTATACCATGGTTAGACCTAGGGTTTGTATGTACATAAAATCAAACGCTAGATAACCTAATACAAGACAAATACATGTAATCAATACACAATCACACTTGCACCCCCTAGGGTAACCCCACATGTTGCCTTCAAAAATGGGCCATGCTTGCACGTCGAGTCTCTTTGGCAAAACAAAATCAAATGATCATAAGTCTCTCAAAGTGTTGCCTAAACGGAATGATCATAGTCCCTTCAAAGCAAATTGCCAAAGACACTTGGCACCATTGCATTCATGGTCCATACGATGACCCGCGCCCGTCCCGTTAAACTTCCTAAACGCAAGATTGTCCACTAATTTCAATGGTGGAACAAAATTGTTAAAAAGGGTTAAAACATAACAAAAACCTTTGAGTACAATAGGGTAGACAAAACTCTTAGTTACTTGAGATCGACTTGCAAAAACACTTGCCTTCTTTTCAAAAAAACCACAATCCACGACACTTTCAAAACAAACTCTCAAAACATTTTTTGAAACATCTTTTCGAAAAGATACACGCCTTTGTAAAATATCCGAGTAAAGAATTATTACAAGGTTAGCCTAAGACAAGGCATCTTCTTCCAAAACATTTTCAAAAGCACTCACACACACACACCATTTTCAAGCAATCGAAAATCAAGGCAAGTGATCTAAAAAACCAAGTAACTAAGAGCCCATGGATAACCATGGATGAAAAGGGTGCTAATACCTTCCCTTTTCATAATCTACCCCCCGAACCCACGAAATATCTCAAAAGGTTTTTGCTGTGCTTTTTTAACCTTTCCTTTAGGATAAAATAAAAAGTCGGTGGCGACTCTTGCTCAACCGCACAAGTGCGAAAACAAACGCAAAACACTAGTCAGTTCTCCCACCGTACCACAACATCTATAATCCCATTCCCAATACTATCTACACAGTCAAGTATCATCATAGACGAGTGCAAATTTCTGGGCACTCTAGTGTTCAATCGTCTTCTACCTTCAGATCACGAAAGGCAGACCAACCAATTTACATCCTCAGGTTTAAGAAGCTTGAACAGGGGCCACTTTTGTACCCTAAAATTTTCCCTCTCATTTTTTACAAGATCTTCTCTTACATGGGTGGCTACAAACACTTGCTTGAAGAAAAATAAAAAATTTTGAAGTTGGTCAAAGTGTCCTTCGATGGGGTGTACTTCGAAGGCATGGCAACACAATATCATTCAATTGGAATGTAAATAAAGGCGTTTTCGATTGGGATTTTAACGTCACTTCGGTTGGTCCCAACTGAAGGAAATCGAAGAGAGCGGAACAAAGTTTTCGAGAGGTCAACAAGATCCTTCCATTGGCCTGTTAATAAGGCCTTTCGATTGGAATTTTAATAGGTATCTTTAGATTGGCATGGTAACAGTGTCTTTCGATTGGCATCTATATAGTACCTTTCAATTGGCATGGTAACCGTGTCTTTTGATTGGCATCTACATAGCGCCATTTGATTGGCATCCCAAGAGGTCCATTCGAAGAAGCGTTCAGATGACTCATTCGAAGGGTGTATAAGCAGTCCATTCAAAGAAGCGTTCAGATCACTCATTCGAAGGGTGCATAAGAAGTCCATTTGAAGGAGACAACTCACATGCCAATCAAAGAGAAACATTGAAGGGTGTTCAAAGGAGTCAAGTGTCCAGGTTCATCCAAGATTTCCAAAGAGACATGAATGTTTCAAAAAGGAATGCTTTTAATTTGTCTAATTCTTGTCTCATGGATTTAATGGCCTGGTTAAATGGCTGTCTCTTGCCGTTACTGGACCATCATACTCCTATAAATATGAAGGACACATTACCAGGGGAAAACGAAAGAGAGAACATAGGGATATGAATACACATACATACTGCACACGAGGAGACCACACACACGCATTGCCCAATTGAAACACCTTTTGCAGATTCCCTCATCCAGGAGTCTACCCCAACTCCTAAGCAAACATCTCCACACCCAGATCCACAGATCATACATCTTAGATTGGTAAGGGTTTGCAAAACAAAAATTTAACCTTCATGACATTTAACTACACATTGCATATATATTCTTGTTATTACTGATTATGCAGCATGTAAGCTAAAGCACAAATATGAGATTGTGCCATTGTTGGGGCACGATCTAAGTTTTCCCTTCGAATCTCAGGACAACATAAACCCAGACCCAGACTCAGCAAATTCGAATTGAGGAAGGATTCGAATTGGGAGGAGATTCGAATCAGGGGGTAAAGTCCCCCTGGACCTCTAACATTTGTTTCATTTTGCAGGAAACATTTTCTTAAAATCTCGCTCAGAGCTTCGAAGAAGCTCTGCTTCGAACTGGATCTAGGGTTCCCAGACCGAAGGATAACATGTCCAGATCGAACACCCCTAAAGTACAACCCTTCATGCACCTTCGATCAAGCCTCTTCACTGGATTAAAAGACAACCCAAGCCTCTTTCGATCTAGGCCTCCAGGATCACACTTTTCTTGACTTACTACCAGATCCTTTGATTTCTTCTTTGTCTTGACCATTTTATTTCTTTTTATTTTTTCAACATAAAATCAATCCAAAAAACCACAAAAACATTAGGATAGTTTTTTTCTCTATTAAATTAATTTTATTAATTAATCATTTAATTATCTTAACATTTTCCCAAAATAAAATAAAACAACAAAAAGATTTTATTCTTAGGATTTTTAGACGTTATTTTCAAATTCGGTTTTATTTTATTGTAACTGCTCATAGTTGTAATGACTTTAGATTTAAAATTCCGCACTTTTAGTTTCTTGCATTTATATGTAACTGCCTCGAAGCCTTGTAATAGTGTAGGATTTACAATTCCTTCAGTTTAAATTCCTTTACATATATTAACTGCTTAGATGTATGCTAACTAGGATTGCAAGACAAGATCTAAAAATAAACGACACAACACCTAAATGTTTAAAGATAAAATAACTGAAACACAACACAATTGCACACAAGCACCTCTAAGGTACACCCACTTTGGTTGTCTTTAAAAAATAGTCATGGGGAAGGAATGCTTTAGCAAAGACCCGTAAAATCAAAAGATCATAGTCCCTCGATGACCCTACAGTTTCCTCCTCGGTAAATGATCTAGTCCCTAAAACAGAATTACTAAAGCGTCTCCACAAGTTGCCTTCATGACTGTAACATCCCTTTTGAATGTCCCTCAAACATCCAACGACAAGGCTACCTACTCACTAATAGTAGGATAGCACTGTCTAAAGGAAAAGAGGAAAAGAACACCCTTTTCGAGTACAAAAAGTAGATAGCTGTTAGAAGTTTGCTCAAACTATTTTTGCACTTACACACAAATACTACTTTTCAAAAACAATTTCAAAATATTTGCTTTGTTAACACTCTTGAGGACCGATACAAGAGTTAACCTCAAAGAAAATAGCCACACTAAGGCTTTTTCAAAACATTTTCAAACACACAAAGTACAAAAGTATTTCGAAATGAGCAAACCTCTAAGAGCCCATGGAAAACCATGGATGGAAAGGGTGTTAACACATTCCCTTTCCATAATCTACCCCCTTACTCAGAAAACATCTCGAAAAGGTCTTTTTCTGTTCTTTTCACCCTTTCCTTTGTTGGATAAAAGAAAAGACGATGGCGACTCTTGCTTACCGCATATTTGCAAACAAAAAACGCAAAACCAGTATATAACAGTCGGTTCTGCCACCGTATCACACTTCCAATTGACTCAATTATACCCAAAATGATGTTAACATCAAAACTTAATATCGACACAAGTGATACCATCATTCACGCTTCAAACACCATTAATACGGATAACAGTCCATACTTCAATTAATTTAGAAAAACAAAGAACACTTTGTTACACAATAATTTCAACAACATTCAACGTGACGCCAATATTTAGTGTTTACAAAATCAGAACCGATTAAACTTAGTATTCAACTTCAATACAAATCGTACTTGATTCAATAAAATCTAAAAAAAACAAATCGAAAACATGTTCCAAGTCAGTCATAAGCGTAAATCAGATTCACTTTTGCAAAGTAACACCAAACTGTTTTTTTTAGAGCTTACCAAAATGCTTTTACAGCTTAACAAATTACTTCTACAACCCAATAAACTATTTTTTACAGCCCAACAAACTGCTTTTTACATCCCAAAAAAAGTTGCTTCTAACAAACTGCTTTTAACAGCTTAAAAAACTTCTTTTTACAGCCTAAAAAACTAGCACATCAGAAGTAAAACAGAATCAGTCATAATCTAGCAAATCATTTCACCAAATTCAATGCATATTTTCTCAATTGTAACTCGAATGAAATCGAAACAGCATAACGTTTATAACTCAATCAAGCCATTTTCTCTAAATTATCAACAACATAGTAGTAAAGGGGTTGAAAGATACCGAAAAGCTGAAATCGGAAACAGTGGAATATCGGAGACAAATCGCATGCTGAACAGAAGCTGTATGAATGCTGTTGTGATGGAGAGAGATGCGATGGCTAGAGCTTGCGGAATCAGAGGCCAGAAGAAGAACACAGGGAGTCTGGCTTGGATTTGAAGGATGTTGAGCAGGCTGTGACAGTTTGATAATGGAATCAGAGGGAAATTGGCGCGGAGGAATTATATGATGGAACAATGATGGTGATGATTTACAGATAATTAATGAGGATTCTGCTGGTGGTTCGATCGCGGAGAGAGGATAAGAGAAATAGAAGGGTCGGTGAAAGTTGGGGATGCTGTTTGGAGGGAGGTGACGGTAGTGCGCTGTTTGGAGAAAGGTGATGGTAGTGTGCTGTTTGGAAGGTAGTTGGGTATGTATTTGGTGGAACAGGGAGGCAAGATGAAGGGAGTATGCTGGGGTAGATAGAAGGAGTTTGCAGTGAGTATTGGGTGGTTTGAAGATTGGGTTTTGTGTGTTGAACAAAGAATAAATGAAGCCCTTTATATAGAAAGAATGAAAAGAAAATTGATTATGTCATTTGCAATTCCGTTCACTTTTTTTTCTTCTAATTTGTATCGATCTGTAACTTTCTCTAACAACCAATAAGAATAAAGTTTAGTTTAACAAAAAAGTTTAATGACCAAAAAACCCTCTAAAAATAAAAATGACGTAAAAATCTGAAAGAGAAAAAATTAATTCAATTTTAATTTTAATTTTAATTTTTTCTGAATAAAAAAATAGAGACCCAAAATGACTAAAAACGAAAAAAAAGGACAAATCTATCTGAAAAAATGAAATGAACACATTAAAATAAACTACCTGTCTCAAAGATTAATGAAAAAATATTCAAATGATCAAAATCGAAATAAAATGAGGATAAAAATATCAGGTTGAACAGACGCTTAAGGTTAAAAACGAGACCTCAAACTATACCGAAAAAATGAAGCGAGCATACCGTCATGATCTATACGAAACGAATATTCATAAAATGACCAGTAAAAGGTGAAAACTTGAAATATTTTTCTCGCTAATTTACCGCACAGTATCGAATCGCTTTTAATAGTCTATCTATGAAACTGAAATATTAATATTATCGACATATAAACAACTTGGAGCAATGCAAGAAACGATTAAAGAGATAAAAATGCATGAAGTGAAATATCTGATATTTTTTCACCTATAAAATGATGCAAACTTCAATTTAAACTGACTCTTGATCAACTTAAATACGACTAATGATGCAAAATGTGATGAATGAAGATACTTATTAATGACTGTGACCAAATAACAAAATATGATATGAAAGTACGACTAAAAAAATTAGAGGCGAAATTTAGGGTGCAACAGCTGAAATCATTTTGAGGAACCTTCTGAAGCAAAGTTGTTCCTCACATCATTAGCTCTTAACTTGTAATGAGAAGTTAGAGATAACGTCAAGGAGATTCATATGCTCGAAGAATCTCTCAAAAATATTGAACAATAAGGATGTTATGATCATTCGAACTCAAACAGGCAAACGTTGACTTTTGGTCTGACAACTTCAAATCAACTCGCGAACTTGATCTTTTCATAGCCCAAGATACTATTAATCACATATGAACTTGAGACATCAAAGAAGGCATGTAAATAGACACGTGAACCTATCTCGAAGAATCTTGAGAATTAAGCAACCAAACTCGTCTTAACTATGCTGAATGAAACTTGAGGATAACGCGACCTAAGATTTTAGACCACCGCTCTGAGCCATAGGCTTTTGGGAACTATTTTTTGCTTGAACAAACCATAACCCTAACCGGAGAGTCATCATGTGAACTTCTTGGTCGTAAACCCTGTTTTTCAAGACACAAAACAAACAAAACATATTTTGGAATTTTGGTTAGAAGTCAGTAAAATATAATATACATATATACGAGGCACACGATTCAAGGTGCTTGGTGATCTCTCAGGAGTAAAGCCAAAGATAAGGAAAAGAACCAAACCCTAGTGTGATATTTTTATGATTGAGTTGGTATGATATGATAGAGGAATCTTAGGGGCAAAAATTTGCGTATAACAGCTGCCCTTATTTAAGTGTCTTCTATCCGGAGATGTGGAGGTTAAAATCTCCGTGTCGACGCGATCGAAGATACTTAAATATAAACAAGCCCTATTTTTGGCCCTAAGATGTCATGCAATGCTTATGATTATGAATGCAAATGACCAAGTCCAATGAGTGACACAAGACACCACTGGGGATGAAATAAGATAAAAACAAAGATCAAATGGGAAACCCGACCAGGAAAATAAATCATTGGTGAACAAAAGACTCGACTCTATTGGGGTAAAGTCCAAAGAGGAGATAGAGGATAACCGTGATCGGCAGATGACTATGAACTATCCACTCACTGAGGAGATAGCAAAAAAGCAACATCGACCCACCGGGGAAAGAAATGGTAAGATAATACCAGCAAATACCAATATTAGGGAACAAATGAACTTTTTCAGAGAAATAGAAACTCATTGACAAACTACCTTCCATAATGACAAGGCTACCATTCATCGGAAAAAGATCTCAACAACGAACTACCTTCCATAATGACAAGGCTACCATTCGTTAGAGTAACAAATATCAACAACAAACTACCTTCCATAATGACAAGGCTACCATTCATTGGAGTAACAAATTTCAATAACAAACTACCTTCCATAATGACAAGGCTACCATTCATTGGAGTAACAAATATCAACCACAAACTACCTTCATAATGACAAGGCTACCATTTATTGGAGTAACAAATCTCAACAACAAACTACCTTCCATAATGACAAGGCTAACATTCATTGGAGTAACAAATCTCAACAACAAACTACCTTCCATAATGACAAGGCTACCATTCATTGGAGTAACAAATCTCAACAACAAACTACCTTCCATAATGACAAGGCTACCATTCATTGGAGTAACAAATTTCAAAAACAAACTACTTTCCATAATGACAAGGCTACCATTCATTGGAGTAAAAAATCTCAACAACAAACTACCTTCCATAATGACAAGGCTACCATTCATTAGAGTAGAAAATCTCAACAACAAACTACCTTCCATAATGACAAGGCTACCATTCATTGGAGTATCAAAATCTGAATCTTCTCTGGGAACTGACAGATTTACTAGGGAAGTACAGGTTGCTCAAATAAAGAGACCGGCCACTTGCTGTTACGAGAAAGAATTTCAATAATGATTTCCCGGGGAAAGAAACATGGCTTCCTGGGGAAAGAAATATGGCTTCCTAGGGAAAGTAATAGGACTTCCTGGGGAAAGAAACATAGCTTCCTGAGGGAAATGCCAATATATTCCTGCTGAGGAGATAAAGTCTTCACGTGTAAAATAAATGCACATTCTCACACATGGGATCAAAGCTTGCCAAAATCAAAATAATAATACAGTTGGGGACCACCCATTCGAACCAGAAATAAATCGGAATGAAACAGTCAATCAAAATAACATCTCATGAGAAATAAACTCAAGAGGGAACCGCATTCCATCCAGACAATGAGTTGAATATGAAGGCTAAATAAAAATTATTCCACGAGGGATAACTCAATGGGGAAAATGAAAGGATATAATTTCTGCTTAAGGTTGACAATCTATTGGAGAGAGGATAACATAACTCTACAAAACAGAGTAATATGTCAACAAAATATTAATGAATGCAAATGAGCAATGATTTGCTAAATTCAACTATGCATGATGTATGTGTGAATGTATGAATTTTATCATGTATATGTTGACAAAACAGACATGTAACACTAGGGATAACCAGACAAAACCAACTTGGGTACAATCAATACTCGGCTAAAACACATCCAAGATGAAAATTTCATGAGAAAGTAAGCACCGACTGAGGAAACAAATTCCTACTTCATGGCTTAACCTCATTGGGAAGGAACATAATCCAAAAATAATCAAATCATAGCAATAAATCAGTACATATACACGGGTATAACATCCTCCTCCAGGCTTCACCGGGAAATATCACACAGACTTCAATGGGGAAAACAAATGTTTCACGGTCTGTACTTCTATTGGGGATTTCCATACTGATTTCAATGGGGGAAATAATACCATACTATTGAGACATCAACTATAGATATTGTACTGACTTCATTGGGGAGGGAAATAACACATCACCGAGGGGAAACCAAGATACATTCTTCAATACCAATAGCGAGGATTGCACCAACTTCTCTAGGGAGAACTTATGAAATTTCACGGGGATAGACATACCTAGAGATTTATGAAGTCAAACATTACAGCAAGAAATCAAACTTATGGGGATTTAAAATCAAATCTAACACTTGGAGGGAGAAAACCCAAAAAGTTGACAACTGTTTCAACATTTCTTAAAAAAGACATTGCCCTTGTCAGGTTGCCTCACTGGAGAAAACGGGATAGAGAACTCAGACCCTGGAAACTTGAAATCAAAATGAACCAAGACTTGACTGGGGAAAGAGGGTTCACAAACCCAATACCGCACCATACATTGATTGGTATCATCTTCAATTATATGAGAAGCATAAGATAATCGTACTCAAACCAGCAAAAGTGTCCTGGGAGAGCCTTTCCTGGGGGATTCATACTTCCAAAATTTCAGAGTTCGTCCATCCTTGGAGTCACTATTTTTGTTCTCCTTGAATCACAAAATCTAAAGCAAGAAGTAATTTGCAAATTCTTTTTAAAAAGATTTTTTTTTGTTATTTAATCTGTTTGCTTTGAAAATTTCTATCAATAATAATTAAAGTCTTTGTAAGCTGAACAAAACAAGAATTGCAAAGAATTGGTAAAAACCTCAAACTTTATTAATAGAATGGTAGTCTGCGAATGGCGATACTCCATAGATGATTACAAAGTTTGGAAAATGGTAATATATATTATAAAAGATACATTGAAATACAATGACCATTATTCTCCCTAACAACTTTGAATTCCTGAGCAGTGACTTCAGTTGAAGAGTGGCGAGGATTCAAGAAGATTGTTGCTTCAATGATCAAGTCTTGCCTAATGCAATTACTTGCCAAGAAATCCCTAACTTTTTCCTAGGTTTCCCTTGCGGGTTTTAAACCTACCAGGAAAATTA